TCATCAGTTTAGATGAAGACAACCTTACCTTAAAGGATGATCATCACACTCTGTTGCAGAACGGGTGTCTACATCATCAATCAGGTGAAAATTACCGCACCTTAAAGGATGATACACACTCTGGTGCAGCACGGGTGACTACGACTACCTTACCTTAAAGGATGATACACACTCTGGTGCAGAAAGGGAGACTACGTTATCAGTTAAGGTGAGGACTACCTTAAAGGATGATCTTCACTTCTGTTGCAGCAGGGGTGACTACACATCATCAGTTCAGATGGAGACTACCTTACCTTAAAGGATGATCTATACAGCTATGTTGCAGCACAGGTGACTACGTCATCAGTTCAGGTGAAGGCTACCTTAAAGGATGATCTTCACTCTCTGTTGCAGCACGGATTACTACGTCATCATTTCATGTGAAGGCTACCTTAAAGGATGATCTTCACTCTCTGTTGCAGCACGGGTTACTACGTCATCAGTTCAGGTGAAGGCTACCTTTAACTTGAGAGAAGAGCATAACATTTTCGCTTTCTGTTTTAAACACATTTGACAATTAGGGATAAAAAAATATGTGTGAATTGTGTTTCTTAAATTATAGTCTTCATCCTACTTGGATTCAGCCGTATTTTACCTTTTTTTTAAATAAAAAAGATAATTTATTGAATGTTTATTTTTTCATAACAGTAAAAACAGAACAGTCAATGACTAAATAAACGGTTTTATATAAAATTAAAGTAAAATAAAGAGTAATAAATAGATATGTTAGGTATGGCTTACAATGAATTAACGAGTTAGATGCACAAGTACCAGTATCTTAGTTTATTTTATAATTAAGCTTGAACTCCTTTTAGCTTTCTCATCTACTATATATTTCTTATAAACGTTATAAATGTCGGACGTGTCCTTGATTAGTATAGGCACATCGAAGTGATAACCCAGATCCCTGTTCTCGGCTTGAACTAATTACTAGTACTACATGACGAACAATATTTACGAAAAATGACTTAGCCAGTCTCAACCAATTGGGCCTTTACTTTAAAATAGATAAATATATTCAAAAGCTGTCAGTTGATACCCTCTCATTTAAGATTCTTGAGCTTTAGGATTTAAGATACATCAACTGACAAAAAGTTTGATTATTCTAAGTCAATAAGTCCCAGCAATATTTAAATATAGCCATTAAATTTCAAAAGGTAGGTCACAGTAACCTAATTTAAATTGAAGGTCTTTGAGGACCGAAGATGCATTGACTGGCATAGTTTGGGGATTCTAGGCAAATTAGTACCTGGAATATTTTTTTAAAAGTCATAATATTTCAAACGTTGGTAAGGGTGACATTTTAAGTCGCGACCTCCGAGGACCCATGATGCATCAAATGACAAAGATCGATGATTATCTAATTAGTACCGGGTATATTTAAATACAGTCAAAAAAATGCAAAAGTAGGTCATGGAGTGACCTACTTTTCAGTTGACGTTCTAAGAGTACACAAGATGTATCAATTTTCAAAGTTTGATTATCCTAGGTCTTAAGATCTTCAAAATATGCCTCTAAAACAATTTGAAAACGAATGTCTGCAAAATTCAAAAAATTGGAAATTGTGACCTACTTTTTGATCAATCTATTTAAAGACCCCTAGATGCATCAACCCCAATGTTTGAATATTCTAAAACCTCTAAGTATTTGAAATAATGATCATTCATGTTTTCAAAAAGATTAGCCAGAAAACTAAAAAAGGAGGTCACTTTAACCTACTTTGAGGTCTCAAGATACATCGACTTTGATGATTATAGCTTTTAAAATGTTCAAAATATGCCTCTAAATCAAAGTGAAAAAAAAATGCATGCAAAATTCAAACAGTAGATCACCGTGTCCTACTTTTGAGTAATCGTATAACGTCCCAAGACGCATCAACTGACAAGATCTTATCCGCATAGTAAGCAAAATATCAACATTTTAATAAAGATATTTTTCGTCAACTTTAAAGTGACCTTGAGACCACGCCCTTTGCCCCAGGGTGATGCTTGAACAATTTTCTATCTTCAACATATCCTCGTCTTTTTGTGTAAGTTTGGGGATATTCTGCCCAGTGGTTATTGACAAGATTTTTAGCAAGCAGTACTTTGAGTTTTATTTTCCTAATTATCTCCCCTTGTTTAAGGGTCACTTCCTAAAGTTTTAATTAATGGGGGTCCTTGTGTCGAGGACACAGCTCTGTGACAATTTTTAAAAAAAATGGCCATGGGGCTCTTGACTCATAACCCATATTCTTACAAGAGGTTCAGGGGCCAAACCGCTCACCTGAGCAACTGGCTAGGTAAAAGCAATAATCAGTTCAGTATTTAAAAAGTTTAAATAAATTATAAGTGGGTTCGGGGGAGGGGAGGGTGTTTGAAAAAAACTTAAATCTACACTTCCTAAGAATGCTTTAGAATTGATTTGAAAAATAATAGCTTTGCTGTTTATAAGATGAACATTTTTATTGATATAGCCTTTATATTCCTTAATTTGTAATGATCTACTTAATGGCTCCTCTATTCTCGATCTGGTGATTTGAACAAATTTAAAAATCTGCATTACTTTTTGATACCCCATTGTGGCCGCACCCTACCCCTGGGGGTATGATTTGAACAAACTTGAATCTTCACTACCGGAGGATGCTTCTACATGAGTTTCATATTTCCTGGCCAAGTGGTTCTTGAGAACATTTTAAATATTTCCCTTTATATTCCTACGTTAAACTTTGATACCCCATTGTGGCCCCATCCTACCCCCAGGGGTCATGATGTGAACAAATTTGAATCTATACTTCATAAGGATGCTTCCACACGAGTTTCATCTTTCACTGCCTATTGGTTCTTGAGAAGATTTTTAAAAGATACCGATAATTTATCACTTATTCATAATTATCTCCCCTTGGAAGAAGGCTTGACCCTTCATTTTTTAAAAAAAACTTGAATCCTCTTCACCCAAGGATACTTTGTGGCAAGTGTGGTGAAATTGGTTCAGTGGTTCTTGAAAAGAAGATGATTTCAAATGTGAAAAGTTTACGACGACGACGGCAACAGACAAATTTTGATCAGATATTTCCGTTCGGTCAGCTAAAAAGTTTACGCACACCGCACAAATGGCCATAACATTAGCCCATTAAGCCTTTGGCTAGGAGAGCTAAAAAGCTTACTTGGGGGGGGGCAAAAAATTTAATGCTATTCTGGCCCTGTGTCTCTGAATAACCCACCCTTTGGTCCTGCGAACATTTGTCAAATTATTGTTCGGGTGTTTCTGTATCGGTGACAAAGCTTACCTCAGTTACCTTTCTCTTACGGACAAAATGATAAATCACATAAATGATAAATGAATTTTCTCTTTTGACTATTATTTTTACAATGAACTGATGTTCGAAGTGGACTAGTGAGCCTAAAATAGGTCAAATTAAAGCCTAGTTGTTCTTGCAGAAGTATAAAAACCAAAACAACAGGCCCAGGAGCCACATCGCTCACCTTAGCAACTAGCTAGGTAAAAGCAAAAAATCAGTTCAGTATTGTAACGTTTAAATATTTTTAAATACGGGTTCGAAGGAGGACTGGGAGGGGTATTTAAACAAACTTAAATCTACACTTCCTAAGAATGCTTTTGAATTAATATGACACATTATGACTTTGTTGTTTATTGTTCAAAATTTATATTCCTTTCTTTTGATCCACTTCATTGGCTCCTCTATTCTGATTAGTCATAATTTAAACAAAATAAATTCTAACCAATTCTTGTCATGATTTGAACACACTTGAACATAGGCGTCGGGACCGGGGGGGGGGGGGGCCGGGGGGGTATGTGGAGCTTAGCCCCCCTTTTTTTTGCAAAAATAGACATAATCTAGGCATTGAAAATTGGGGTTTACCTTTTTTGGTGCTTTAGCCTCCCCCCCTTCAATTTGCTACCGACGTCTATGTTGAATCTTCACTACCAGAGGATTCTTCTACATGAGTCTCATCTTTCCTGGCCCACTGGTTCTTGAGAAGAAGATTTTTAAAAGAAACTATTAATTTAACACTAATTCAGAGTTATCTCCCCCTTGGAAGCGGGCGTGGCCCTTCATTTGAACAAACTTGAACCCCCTTCACACAAGGATACTTTGTGGCAAGTTTGGTTGAAATTGGCCAACTGGTTCTTGGGAAGAAGACGAAAATGTGAAAAGTTTACAACGACGTCAGACAACGGACAAAGAGCTTTTGATCAAAATAGCTCACTTGAACCTTCGGCTCAGGTGAGCTAAAATGGTACACTACATTTGGGGGCTTGCATTATATAACTTATTGTGATGATGCTTCTTGAGAATGAGAATTCTGCTTCAGAGTGGGAAATTCTGTCATATCTAGGCTAAGAAGCACTGGAGATGGAAAAAGTGTGAAGGATATCTTCGCTCACAGTGAAAGGCACTCTCATGAAGCAGGCGGGTCGAAATACACACTTCCCTCACATTTTCGTAGCACTTTACAGTGAATTATAATAGCGAATTCCTAATTAGTCATAAAGTGCACGTGGAGTACTTTCAAATTCTTCCAGAAAAACAAGACTACACATTCAGTATATCACATCTACATCCGATAGGTTTTCCTCCGTTTTTCCCGTCACAAACTGATTTCCCTTTGGGCACATTTTACTCACTGTAAGATAACCGATAAGACACCTTTCAAACACCAAACAAGACGGCCCTGCCCTTAGTATTTTTGTAAAAGACTTGTTTAATTTTGATACAAACACACCAAATGCAATTAGTCATCACCAAGTTGCATTCCTGTTCACAACTTTTTTTCTTTATTTCACCATCACTTTTACACCATATTGCACCAAGACACACGTAAAACAACATGTGCTCCATCTTCTACACCGCATGAAGGAAGATAATGAATTCCACTTCAGAATTGGTTGCAATGTGCACAAATTATGAATTTTAATTGCAAAAACTGTGTATTTGGAGCTTTCATGCAACACTAGAATCTGATTAAATTTTAATACCACAAGCACAGCACATAACAATGAAACAGAATGCATCCCTAGGAATCTTCCATATACTTTAGCAACAAATACTGATATGCCTGATTTCACTACTACTCTGCACTTTTTCAACAGCGTATCTGAAAAACAATGGTTTTTGTTTATTTTCACATGGTTTATTTCTTGCTACCAACTATATTATATAGGGTTAAAATAAATTCACACAAAACACATCACTGAAATCATCATTTTGCAGATTTAAACAAAACAGGATATATTCCAAAACATGAAGTCCTTTAGGAGATTTTGAACTGAATGTGCAGATGGGCTAAAAATGTTACACTTCTGATCAGTTCTTCCAACACAATTTCCGATTATTTGGAATTCACTTGAAAACATCAACATAACTTTTCAGACAATCCCCTCTCCATTCCTATTGTTGATCTGCGTATCACTTAAAACATGTCATCTATTCACATCACACACTTTCATAATTCACAATAGATATTTAGTATCAAGTCAGATGTCAACTTATTGCACATATTTTGACCACAAAGCTACACAGATTCCAGTGTTTTTATTCCACATTTTATTTTGTATCAACTTGGATTTATCTGAAAACAAAAACAGAGAACGTTTAATAAAAACTTCTTTTTAAATATAATATTACATTTATATAAATTTTAATTACTTACAAATGAAAAGCAGACAAGCATACATACCTGTTAAATAAAAATCTTCTCGTCGTCTATAATGCTGTAAAAAAATATAAATCACAACAAAATGGTAATGTAATTAATTTAGGTTTTGATTGAAAAGCGTTTTCAAGATCTGAAATTATTATTTTAAAAAAAAATGCACCTAAAGTTAACTTAAAAATGCTGAAGTAATATGCACTGCAAGTAAAAAAATGATGTGTCTGCTGTACAATGCAGAAGTTCCTTCTTGTTTCTTTTTTTAAATATCACATATATGCAAGGTTTCCACATAAGCAAAAATGTGCCATTTTGCATGTTAGATGAAAATTACCAATTTCACTCTGTAAGAAAAAAATTCTTGCACATAAAAAGACATACATTTATGACAATATTATGGAAATGTTTATGTGTACTTTGAAACTGAATTTAGTTTGCACAATTATAAACTACTCACATTAAAATCTACTATTTTACATAAGTCCAGGAGAAAAAAATAATATGTTGTTTTCGGGCATTGCATCAGGTCAACACTCTCAGCAATAAAGTTTCTTGATACTGAAGAATTTCCACTCAGTAAAAAAATTTCAAGTTGAAAAAGATATTTATGTCCTTTTTCAGACATACTTAAAAGACCTTTAATTATGCATACAGTATTCATTCTGCTAAAATGGTATTTTATGATAATAAATTAACTTTTCATAAAATGGTTTGGAATACCATGAGTCAAAACTTGAGTACAATGTATTTTTATCTAATAGTATTGTAAAAAAAAATAAAGATAGATAATTTTCTTGGCTCTTCCTGTCACACTGAATTCTGAAAATATTGCCCCAGATACATCAGATTTTTTTCTTGTAAAAACTTGTGACAAGTACAAAACATAGATTGAAGGATTTACAATTATTTACATTAATTAATAAATAACATCTTATGCTTCATAATTATTCAGATGATTCCTCATTCAATAGTATAATTGTACTAAGATGGCAATTATAAAATCTCACAAAATCTGTGTATTACCATGTAATTTATTCTTTTTTGTATTAAAAAAAACAGACACTATTTTTGACATTTTTGATATAACTTAGTTCGATAAAAAAAAAAAACATTATTTTTTCATTAATAAGAAAAAAGTTATGAACAAAGCAATAAGCTTACTTGGTATACAATATATTTCATATGAAAATGATGTGGAAAAACACCAACACTGTTTTTAAAAAAAATTCAAATTGTTCTTGATCCAAAGTGAGACTTCACCATCTTCAATCAGCAATTTATCTCAAAACATAAAATGCCATATTATTTAGACCAAATGGTTTTTCTGTTAAATACAAGAATACAATGTTTAAAAAAGGTGGTATTTACAAATTAAACCACACAAAATTATATTCCTAAATTTTCTATAAACAAATAATTATTGATTTTAAAAATCAGTTCTATTACATTTGTTACAATACATATCTGATTTACACAGTACCTCTTATGACAACAACAATCAAGTAATCATCTTGAACTGGTTCTTGTGGCAGACGAGGGGCTGCTTTCAGTAAAAATTCATACCCAAATGAACATGGTGGAAAAGCATACAGAACTCCCACATTTTCTTTGTCTTTTGTCTCATAAGGTGGAAGAGAGATAACTCCAGCTGCTTCCTTTTGTCGAAGGTAAGTCACTAAATTCTTCAGAGGTCTTTGCTGAATAGCAGAATCATCCCAGTTTGGGAGTGTACTTGGCATAGCTAGGAGAATGCAATGACCATTTCGACCTGCTGCTAATACTCTTCTTCCTACATCATCTAGTTTTGGTGGATCAAGGCGCAGCCTTTGCTTTATTTTCAGCATTGGTGTTTCTGTAGTTGTTGGATCTCTCATCAATGTATCAACAATTGTGACGTCCCCACTAACAACATGCATCCTTCCAGGGAAGGCACTATTTTTTAAAAGAATTCCACCATTCCATGCCACTGGAAGACATTTCACCATTTCATTTATGTTCTCAACTTCCTCCAAATCAGAATACTCTTTCTCAACTGATAATCTTCGTGTATCTCGTCTGCATCCTTCTAGTTCAAAGTCATCATCTGAATTTCTGCCCAATTTTCTATTATCTCTGTTTTGCAGTTGCAAGTCATATTTATCAGGGCTTCTTCTGCGTCTTCGATCCTCTGAACCCTCTGGTGTTCTTGGTCTCCTGTACTGTACATCAGGAACTCTAACATCAAAGTCTTCATAACGTCTGCGATCATCTCGATGGTCTGAACTTTTAAAGGTACCGTCTATACTTCTAGTATCATCCCTCCTTTCATGTGGTGGCTTCCAATTGCTTCCTTGATATCCTCTACCACTTTCATTTGTTTTAATTTCCAAAGGTTTTGGTGTGTTTGTTATGTGACTGACATCAGCAAAATCAATGCGTAAACGTCTGTCTTGTCCTCCAAGTGGAGCCCCTCTCATTTCTGAACACGCAGCCTGAGCAGCATCTATGTTATCATACAATACATAAGCATAGCTTTTCCCTTGTGGCCATTCGATCCGTTCAATAATTCCAAACCTGTCAAATTCACGCTCAAGCATTTGATGAGTCACCCATGGACCTAAGCCTCCAACCCAAATACAAGTACTTGGAGTTACTTTTCCATATCCAATTTTGCACTGAAATCGACCAATATATTGTCCTGACATCTCTACTTTAGCTCTGTGTGCATAGTCAAGGTTCATAAATTTGATAAATGCATATGCATTGCCTTGACCCCGTTGAGGTCTCTTAATATCTATTTCTTCAAGAAACCCATACTTTGTGAAGACTTCTTTTAATTCTTCGTCAGTAATGTTGTAATCAAGATTTCCAACAAAAAGAGTTCTTGTTGCCTTGTCATCATCCTCTGGTGGTACATGATCCAGATGATAAGGAAACTTTTCGTTTGGAGCTCTTCTAGTACCCCCTCCTCCAGGAGTACTGTAACTTGAAGAAAATTCTTTCCGTGGCGGCAAATCAATATCAGGTGATCGCATTTGGTGGTAGTTTCTCCTTTGTTGAAATGGGGGTGAGCTTCTCCTACTGCTGCTGCTACTTGGGTAACTAAACATTTCATTTGAACGACCGTAGTTGGAAGTGGGCATCGTTCCTGGTGTTGTGTGGTGCTTTTTAGGATAAACTGAATCAATAACAACAATTCTTTCAAAAAGTATCATCTTATTTTGCTTTGCATGTTTTGCTTCCCTAGCATCCTCAGGATAGCGGAAATTTATGTAAGCTACACGCATTTCACCACTGTAAGTAATGTTTACGTTGAATTCGCCATATTTTTTAAATTCTCTGTACAAGGCGTCTTTCAGTACATGATCTGGAATTTTACTTGAAATATTACTTAAGCAAAGAGATCTATATTCAGGAGTTTTCACCTCTGTCCTACTTATTGGATAATCGTCTTCACGGTATCTTGTTCTTACTTCATCGTGATAGTACTTGAGTTTCATGTCACGGCTTCTAGCTGGTGGACTGCATCGAAGATCCCTTCGGTCGTAATCGGCCATTGGAGACTTTTCTCTCATAATTTCGTACTCAGGGCCTGGATATCGTGACCTCTTCAGGGCCCTTGGTGACATATCCCGTTCTTGGGAACGTTTCATGATAAATTCGTCTCTATAACTACCAAAATATGAAAGTACAAATTGACCAAGAATGTAGAACCGACGCCATTAAACAATGCAACGCACCTGTTATTGCTGACGGTTTCTGGTCAATCCGTACATATGGAAATTAGACCCTTGTCACCGGGAGGGTGGACTCAAAAACCGCCCTTTGGTGAGAGATTGGTTTAGCATCTGCTTGAAGCATTTTTTACATCAAAAATGGTCAATTTGCAAATTCAAAACATTGAATTCTCTAAATGTGGTAAATTATTAATTTTCAGTCATTGAAATTAGAAAGGATTATGAACTACTTGAAATTTCCAATTAATAAAGCTGAACGTTCTAAATTAACATAACTGTGAATTTCTTTACATCCTTCAGAAATTGAAATAGGCAGATATTCAAAGCCTTGTAACCAAAAAGATTTTTTTTGTCAATTTTGTAAAATTTAATTGTTGTAGAAAGTAAAAAAAACATTTCATCAGGCACGTAGCACCGATTTTGAAAGTGGGGGGGGGGGGGCAGCCGCCGACTTTTTTTTTACTTCCCTGAAAAAGTTGACAAGCAAAAAAAAAAAAAAAAAAAAAAAGAGGAAAATTTCCCAAAGTCGAAAATCCTATTTCGGGGGGGGGGGGGGGGGGGGGGGGGGGGGGGAGAGGCAAACTTTTTTCACTACCAATTCCTTTCAATATCCATTTTTAAAGCTTACAATACTATATTTCCTTCATATTGCTTTACTTTACTATAAAGTGGGGGGGGGGGGGGCAACCAGTCTTTCAATGAACATATTTAATAGTAAAAGTATTGTTGGCAAAAAGTGCCCCCCCCTTGCTACGTCCCTGTTCATATAATGTTATGACTGTCCTATATGTTAAGATTTGGGGGAAAATATTCTCCTTTGAACATCTGTAACTTAAATGATAACACGTTGAAAGAAAATCATCAGTGTAAAGTACGTACTGTATAATCCTGACAATGCAGTTCATTCTAGAAGGCTATGTGAATTTTTATATGAATGTTTTGAATTGCGTTCCAAAAATATAGCGCAATTGTATATATATTAATGCATAAATATCAGTTCATCACTGTCCATACCATAAGTGATTGTTTAATCTTCAAGTTGTAAACCACTGCATAGTTGACTTCGCTGATCCATACACTTGCATGCATGTATGTATGTATGTTTGTCTTTTTGCATATATAAGATGGTTGTATGCCAACATGTTTGGTGAATCAATAAATAATTTGAATAGAATGGTGTGTGTGTTAGCCGTCGATTTTACCAAAATGATCTAAAGATATGGTAAAAATTTGAAATTCTATTAAGTAATATTTTGACCTCATCACTGTGTACGAAACGGACTAGGGTAAAGTGCGTTACCCTAGTCCAAGATGGCGACAAGCTTATACGCCTCAAATGTCCATGAATAAATATCGGTGAATTCTAATGAAAACCCCTCCTTTGTTTTGCACCATTTTGTTTTGCGGCATCAGTTTTCCTTGCTCTGAAAGAGACAACATTCAACCCTGCGTAATTAACCAGAAAACGCGTCTCGAACTTTTGCCATACAAACATGTAGATTAGGGTAATATAAAGTCTATGAAATGTTTCTTTGCGATTAGGGTAAAGTTTTTTCGAGACTAGGGTAAAGTTATTTATTCTACAAACTAACTGTACACAGAACAAATGCTGTATACAATTAATAAAGTTGAGAAAGGATTTCTGGAAAATATTCAAAAACTTCTGCTTCCACAAAGAAAACATATATACCGATTCATCATTGTTCATTGTTTTTTTTAAACACAGTTTGCATACACAATATTACTCAAATTTTGAACAGTATAGTGTACATATAATTATTTTCCGTTTCATAATTACACAGTGTTCAAACATGTAATTATAATATTCAGTCCAAGGGCGTAGCTAGGCGTACACAAAAACTTTCTAAAGTTCAACGTTGGTACCCTGCATAATGCATATATATATAGAAAACATGGAAGCAAAATTAGAAGAATTACACGCTTAGTTTGGACTTTCAGTAAGGCGTGGCATTCTCGACGTTACCTAATTAGCTTCTGAAAGAACTATATGCGGTATTAACCAACATTTGCCCCCCAAAATCAAACTTTGATGGAGTAATATTTAATTAAGTCCTTAAACAGGGGAGTATATGCTGACTTCAAAGCACTGAATAATTTCATAAATAATGACGTCATATGTACGTAATGACGTCACAAATATGACGTAAATTTCAGTTTTTTATGAATTTTGAAGAAAAATGTACATATTTCGTCGATATTTTAAATAAAAGTCACCGAGCGCATGTGTGTTCAGGATTAATATTTTGATATGTGTAGAATGATAATATCAATGAAATATGTCAATATTGTTCCTGAACACACATGCGCTCTATAAATTCTAAAGCTTAAATTGTTGAAATTTTGTCCATTTTGTCCTCTTTCTGAAAAAGGATATAAAATCGGACTAGTTTGTGACGCCATAAAAACAGAAATTGTGAATACACTGCTCTGGAACTGTAATATTTTCTGTTAACTTATATTTCTCGTACAATTTATTGAATTCAGCACATTTCAGGAAGTTTTCAAAATTTGACTTTTGTGGGGGCAAACATATGCAATATACCGCATATAGTTCTTTACACAGCTTCCCTTCACTGTTGAAATATACATATGATAGAAATGCGGCCGAATGTCAACTGGTGTAGTAAATAGCCAATTAAAAGTTCTCTCACGGCACAGAGGTGGGGCATAAGTCGTCTGATCGTTATCAACAACAATTTTAAGTTCCTATGTTGTTAATTTCGTAACCAATGAGAATCTACTAGTATTCTCCATTATGTAGCGCCGAGAAAGTCACGTCCTACTGAAAGTCCAAAGATAGGGTAAAATACTCCTAATCGTTTCACGTAGATGTACATGTATCTCGATAAAAAAAAAAGTTGAATAGAACTGCTTCCGTAGCTGAGTACATCGATATAAATAAATCATTTTTAGACGGTGTACTATGATGGGCATAGCTGTATCAATATCCACAAACGAAATGATTTTGAGGGTTTTTATGGTTTTGTTTGACAAATAAAAAAAATACGCGTTTTTATTCGGATACTTCTTAATTTATGAATATGATATAAAATTTTAAAAAAATAATAATACTGATTTTATATGTTCTATTTACACTATACTTTTATGTAAAATAGGTGCTTGGACACAGACTTCATGTTAATGTTTTCTCAAATTCTCGGTTTAATATCTTGTCTAGTTGACTACATAACTTATATGCGACAACAAACCATGCATACATGGGAGTTCATAGGCGTTGGAACCGGGGGGCTAGGGGGGCTTAGCCCCCTCCCCACTTTTTATTTGCAAAGATAGACTTAGTATAGACATTGAACATTGCTGCGTAGGTTTAGCTTTCCCCCTCCACTTTCCACAGAGACGTTGCAGTATAGGTTTAAAATTGGGAAAGTGGTGCTGTTTGGAAAAAAACTTTGGTACTGTAGTTGGAACCTATAAACCCCCTCCCCACGAAATAGGATTTTCGTGTTTGGACAATGGGCACTTCCTTTTTCTTTCTTTTTTTTTTTTTTTTTTTTTTTTGCTTGTCAGGTTTGTTTTGGAGGTCTAAAAATTTTTCTTACACTTAGCTCCCCCCCACTTTTAATTTGCTTCCGACGCCAATGGGGTTTCCTGCAGACCATCAGACTTTGGCGTCATCATCGGACTTTGGAGTCGTACCTATGTTTCCATAATTTTGGGACGCGTTTAATTCTTCATTCTAGCATGTTGAGTCTAATTTTATTCTTAATACTGATTAGAAGTAAAAAAAATGTGTATTTACAAAATTTATCAAACTACAATCCAGAAAAATTAAATTAATAATGCCAGAAAGCAAAACCAACTCACCAGTATTGTCAGTCCGTGCTCAATGATGTGTGCAGTTAAACACACCAGGTGAAACTTCACATTAACAAAACAAAGTTCGTGTCCAAGGCACGTAGCAACAGGGGGGGGGGGGTGCCTGACATAACTTTTACTATTGAAAATGTTCAATGAAAGACTGGTCCCCCTTATTTTTGTTACAGTAATTTTATATGAGTAATAACGGGAGGTCAACATTACCGCTACATTGCCAAAAATTTCAACTCATTACCGCTACATTTTTTCAGATTTTCGACCGATCATTACCGCTACATTTTTCCGGCAAAAAACAACTCATTACCGCTACATATTGAAGCAGCCAAAAACAACTCATTTCCGCTACATATCAGTTTAGCCAGGTATGTTCGATATAAGAGTTCTATAATGAACAGTATTTGGACAGTGGTTGAAAGTTTTCTTCTATTTGGGTTTTTTGGATCCTCGAGAAGTTGAAGAGTGCTTTGTGTTTGATGTGTTTCCGAGGCACATTGAGCGGTCATCGTCATTTCCACCAACAATTTGGGCAGATGTTGAGTGTAAAAGTTTTCACAAAGAGTTCGGCACAATTAATGTTAAATATAGTTCACAACCGAGCATTTTTGATTTTTTGGCCAATATTCAGCCTTTCCTTGAAAAAAGTTACATGAAAATACGTGCTGTAAGAAACAGGATTCTCCCAGAATTTTATCTATGAACAGTGCTTGATTTTAAATTTCTGTTTTTAATGAAATAAAATTGATTTTAATGAAATAAAATAATAAACCCATCCCATCCAAAGTCCTACTTTCACCTACCCGTAGTGAGCAGGGGAAACGGGTCTTATGCATGTATAGGTTGTACTGTACACGCATAAGTGGCTGGCTAACGAAAGAGACAATGTAGCGGTAATGTATACTTTTTTATGTAGCGGTAATGTAAGGTTTTTTGTAGCGGTAATGACTATGTAGCGGTAATGAAAATTTTGAAAATGTAGCGGTAATGATACGCACCCGTAATAACATACTAGTATTTTATGAGAAAAAAAAATGGTACATGTACGGAAAGAAGATGGTCTTGGAAAAAGTTGGCCTTTAATTTCTTAAAGAAACACCTTTAAAGAAAAAAAAATTACTGAAATTTTAAGAATTAGAAGCCAGAATTTAGAGCTGTATTAATT